TTTTTCTCTTATTTTTTTTTAAACCCCCCGTTCCTTTCCTTTTCTGGTGGTGGTTTTCCTACTCGTCTCTTTTTACATTGACAGCGCTATTGCTATACTTAAATTAGTCCAAGCCAGACCAATTCTCCTGATTGCAAACGTCTTCCCTTCCTCATGACGATATAAAGAGTGACTAGAGAGCCCCGGACTCCCCAACACATCCACCATCCACGAACCCACCCTCGTCTGAATTGAGACTTCCGACCACGTTCTCGCCACTGCTTTGCCTCACTATCATGCCCTCTTAAACTCCCCTCTCCCGCAGGATGAAATTCGCCAAGTTGGTTCCACTGCTGCAGACCAATTCACATGCATAACGGCTAACGTTGGAGTCCACAGAGAGCTGGAACAGGAATTAGTTCCAGAATGGCGTGCCAAATATCTCGACTACAAGGTTTGATCCCACTGTGTGTGTTTGTTTCTCTTTTCTTTTTTTGGCTCGTTCCCCCCGATCTGACCGTCTCGTTCGGGTTGTAGGCGGGCAAAAAGAAACTTAAAGCCATTTCACGGGCACTCCAGAAGACCAATCGAAGTCCCAACCATTCGTCCCTCCGACACGTCAGCCATGGCGATCCATCGACGGTAACAGCCAGTGGTCCCGACCCTGCGTCCTCTTTCCATCAATCCGACAGGAATCCTCCAGCCACCGACGGGACGTACAACCCGACATTACCAGTCAGAAGTGGCTCCCGGACATCACGCTCAACTCCTGGTCGACGAAGCGAGCGCCAGCCCCTGCGAGTGCCTGGCTCCCGGTTCTCAACGACGGTAGGAAGCTATGGAAGCATCCTCGCAACACCACCGCTGCAGGCGGGCTCTTCTGATGTGGCCTCGTTCGAATTACCGGACCCAGCGATAGACTTGAAGGTACAGGATTTTGACCCGAATAGCGAGATCGCCCGCCAAGATGAGCCCCGAAGCCCTTCGCCAGTTATGGCGCGCAATGGCAGCACCAGGGCCGTGCCGGAAATGCCCCCGCGGAGCCCGTCCGCCCACACCGATAAGGAATTCAAGAGAAACACATTTTCTGGCTCGAACAGCAAGCGAGCCTCCCAGATGCTGAAGCGGGTATTCTCATACACCGAGTCGCAGGAAAAGCAGGATGATCAACCATCGTCGGAATTCCAGCGGCGGCAAGACGAGTTCTTTGCATTTTTGGACGATGAACTGGCCAAGATCGAGTCGTTCTATCAGATGAAGGAAGAGGAAGCCACGGAACGCTTGAAGGTACTCAAACAACAACTTCATATTATGCGCGACCAACGGATCCAGGAAGTTTTGAGCAATAAGAAGGGTCGAACCCAGCACGGACACTCGCACAAACAAACCGGTTTTGGGGGCCTCAACGGTTCCCGGTTAAAGGAGGCCTTTGTGGGACATCGAATCGGGAAGAATTCCAAGGCATTGGCCGAATTAGCCACGCCAGCAGCAAATCAAGGACAGGATGCAGATGTTGTGAACCGCCGCAGGGACTTCTCGCGTCGACCCGATGATGCAGCAAACCATGAGGTTTCCTATCGTTCTGCCAAGCGGAAGCTTAAACATGCGCTGCAGGAATTCTACCGCGGCGTGGAGCTACTGAAAGCGTACGCCTATCTCAATAGGACAGCCTTTCGCAAGATCAATAAGAAGTATGACAAGGCCGTCAACTCCCGTCCGCCTCTCAGGTACATGTCGGATAAGGTCAACAAGGCGTGGTTTGTACAAAGTGAGGTCACCGAGAACTTGATGGCCGCGACGGAGGATCTTTACGCTCGCTACTTCGAACGCGGAAACCGCAAGATCGCCATCTCCAAATTACGCAAAACACTCAAGAAATCAGGCGACTACTCTCCGAATACGTTCCGTGCCGGGCTTCTCCTGATGGCTGGTATATTGTTCGGCATTCAAGCTCTGATATACGCCGGTCAGCATTTTCATCACCCCGATCCCATGATACCCATCCACACCAGCTATTTACTTCAGGTTAGTTCGAACGACTCTGCGATATACGCCATGTTTTGGCTACATCAGTCATGGCGGGACTAACTTGAACAGATATACGGCGGCTTCTTTCTCATAGTCTTTCACTTCTTACTATTTTGCTTGGATTGCATTATATGGACGAGGAGCAAAATCAACTATGTCTTTATATTCGAATATGACACCAGAACTGCGTTGGACTGGCGTCAGCTAACTGAGGTATGGACAACTCACATACCTCTCTCGCATTATGGCTAACGCCTAAGCAGCTACCTTGCCTTTTCATGTTCCTGTTGGGTCTCTTCATGTGGCTTAACTTTCTATCGGTTAATGCCATGTATATCTATTGGCCAGTCGTGCTTATAGGGATAACGGTAATCATCCTTTTTCTGCCTGCCCGTATACTTTATCATCGCAGTCGAAAATGGTGGGCATATTCCAATGTGAGTGAACCTGCAGCTATATTCTGGAATAGTCAGGCTGACAAGTAGCAGTGGCGTCTATTACTAGCAGGGCTGTATCCTGTCGAGTTCCGGGACTTTTTTCTGGGCGACATGTACTGCTCGCAGACTTATGCTATGGGGGTAAGTGTAACATTTTTCTCTTGACACTTTGAAGCTAATAGCGATACCAGAATATCGAGCTATTTTTCTGCCTTTATGCCAAGCACTGGACCGAGCACGCGCAGTGCAATTCTTCTCACTCCAGACTATTGGGATTCTTCAGTTGCCTTCCGTCTATATGGAGAGCTTTGCAGTGTCTACGCCGATATGCTGACACACGAAACGTTTTCCCGCACCTGCTGAATTTCGGAAAGTACATCTTTGGGGTTCTCTATTATGCCACCCTGAGTATGTATCGCATCGACAGAGTGACCCGATTCCAGGCCCCGTTCATCACCTTCGCGTTATTGAATGCTGTCTATTGCTGCGTTTGGGACCTTGCTATGGACTGGAGTTTAGGGAACCCATATGCGAAACACCCCCTTTTACGCGAGGTCCTGGCTTTCCACAGAGCCTGGGTCTACTATGTAGCCATGGTTGTCGATGTCGTAGTGCGATTCAACTGGATATTCTATGCCATATTCGCTCACGACATCCAACATTCGGCTGTGCTCAGCTTTGTGGTAGCGTTCTCCGAGATTTCGCGAAGGGGTATATGGACGATATTTCGAGTGGAGAACGAACATTGCACGAATGTGCTACTTTTCCGAGCGTCAAGAGACGTGCCCCTACCTTATGAAGTGGCCTCCCCACATACAGAATTGGACCAACCAACCGAAGAAATGGTGGTTCAAGAGCCACAGCAGCCCACTCCTCAACCTCCTGCGGCCGATATAGAACACGGAACTCCACCTACGCCTGGTACATCCCTCCGGGCACGCGGCTTATCCCGAGTTGGAACCATTCTGGCCTCCGCCCATGCACAAGACTTCCAGCGCAGAAAGCGACCGGAGGATCTGGGCGGTGCATCTTCGTCTCAGAGAAACGCAGACACCCCTGACGACAGCAGCGACGACGACGACGACGACCCGACCGACACCAGACCCTATTCAGATAATATCATTGTCGAAGACTACTCCTCGTACGGAGACAACGACAGAATTTCACACTAACAACTATATTATTATTATTATTATTATTTATATTTTTTTTGATAGCATTTTCGCGGCAGCACGTTTGATTTACCAGCCAAAAAGTTGCATATTTCTTATTCATGGACATAATTATGATGGCATATAGAAATACATAGTCTAATAGGGGTAGATTGACGAGTGACTCATTTTCTTTGCAATAAAAGATACCCTCCATCACCATGGCAATTCAACATCTCGATGATCTACATCAATAATCTTTTTGTCTCAAACTCAACCATGCGCCCTACAACCCCAGACAAAAAAATCCTTTTCCAAACCTTGAATACAGAAATCCCCACACAATCATAATTACACATGACAAGACCTCTTTCCTAATCCATCAAGCCACCTAGGTTCCTAACATACTCCGAACCACCTACTACCGCCACCACCACCTCTATTGATAGCTATCCATCCATAGAACCCCCCAAAAGAACAGTCCACGTAATCCCCCCATCCCTGCATCAGAAAAAACGCACAGAAAACCCGTCAACCTCCGAGAATGCAATTGTCGATCTCAAGCCCCTCCCTACGAGGCCAAATATGTGGGTAATGGTCATAGATGTCGATCTCAATGATCGTTACTTGGATGGGCTATTTGCTTCGGTAAGGGCCGAGAGTTTGTCTTTGGCGGTCTTGGGTTGCTGGGTATGGATGTACGTAAACTTTCTTCTTTCTGGTTGTTCACAAGGGTTTCACTTAGTAATGGGTAATGTTCTGGCGGTGTTTGACTTGGGAACTTATTTGGTTTATGTCGCTAGTAGTACTTTTATATTTTATCTATCGTACTCTATACTACGGAGTGGAAGAGGGTATGGTTAGGGCTTAAATTGTTCGTTTGTGGAATGTGTGGGTTTACAGCTACGTAGAATCCGAGGGATTTGTTTAAGAACAACACAGAAAAATAACCACTTTTAGCACTATAAACTACTATTCTTGCTACACCAATGTACATACTATAACAATTGTTGATTGTTCAATGCTGTTGAACTACCCAGGAAGTGGGGATGGCACTTAGTCCTCACTATATATAACTTCCCCGGCAAACCCCAGCTTTTACCCGTGGTTATAACTACCCCCCACATAATCGCAGTAACGCGAGGTTCGATGCCACAACTCAGACCCAAGGTCAAGTCGTCAGCAAAATGGACGACGTATGTATCCTTGTAAGAGGGTAACCCTAAACGACACGGGCCATATAGTCCACTGCTATGAACTGATCCAATACAACATCTCTCTGATTATGAGTCTCGAGGGAAACTTCCCCGCGAGATTGCAATAATCTACGAAGTACATACATTCGAATCGATGGCATTTATGGCCGACAATTAGTACGCACACAAAACAGGTACATCGGCAACTAAAAACAACTTGAAGGAAGAGAGGGAGAGAGATAGAGAGAGAGAGAGAGAGAGCTTGGCATAACTTCAAGCTTTTTATTCACGGGTCCGATTTACAATACCAGACCGGATTGAAACTCTACTAATTCTCTATGAGGAGATGTCTACGACACTACGGTACAGAGTATGTACAAGGCTACCTGATCTATTATAGTCAGTAAGCCTGCTCCGCATTAACTAACATACGTGTCTAAAGTGTCGGTTTGAAATCCGGACAATTGCCTCGCTGAACCTTATGCGTGCTAAGTAAAGTCCATGGGCTGGAGTCATCTCTTGGGATTGGTCACACCGTGTAGGACGTCTACGTACATTGCCGAGGGGGGGGGGCTAACACAAAACAACCTAATAGAAGCTTAGGGCTAAATTCATCGCGATCGGCGTGAGGCTTAGATGATATTGACCAAATAGCAGGTCGTTCCTGTTGGCTGACGGGGCCAGATATCAGCCTGACGGGGCCGTGATCAGCGTGGGGGCCGGACCAAGGCTGGAAAACAAGCTCTAAGATACCTTTCTAATATTATGGAGCTAGACCTATCCAGGTAATTCAGATGCACCACGAATCAAATGCGCGGCTGGACGGTCATGACTTGTGTAAGGTCAGTGCTGTTTTCCTACGGAGTAAGTCTGAGCTGGTCTGGCGCGGGGAGATCAAATTATAAAAAGGTTGAATTAAGCACCCGTTGGGGGCTTCTGAGGAAGTGTCCTTCCTCAGGTATTTTTGCAACTCCTGCACATTGCAAACATGACCATGATGGACTTTTGGAGAAGGGCAGAAGAAGTAGGAGGAGTAGGAGTAGGTGAAGAATGTGAGCTGGTGGGAGAGGAAATGGCTACCTTGGTGGGCAATGGGGTTAGTATACCGACACCTACTCTTACACACTTTCACTACGATGAAAAAAAAAAAGTCCATGCTAACTATAAGAACAGGTTCTTGTTGGTTTCGCCGGCCAAGCCCTCTTATCCTTATGCCTGTCGGCGTGGGTGTTCTTCCTAACAAAACACGGGAACCTGGATATCACATATCCCGAAGGGTCTATAAAGCGAGAGATCGAGCGCAAACGCCTAGAATTCGTTTCGAATATTCTAATGATCGGATTGGATATTCAATCGACGCTCGGTATCTCATACATGATCACCACCTTCTCCCTGTCCTCGATCATGGATCTATACCACTTACACCTCGTCTTCGATATTGTCAGCTTCGTCGGAGTGTCGAACACAGCCGCCCTCGTCTGTTGGCGATTTGTCCGTGCGAAGATCGAGGCTTCAGACACAAGCCCTGAATCTCGGGGCAAACACACACGCATATCTTATTGGAACGGTCGCTACCGCGCCACCTTCATCTTTGTCATGTTATACCTAGCCCTTCTCATCCTCCTCTGTGTCCGCCTCAACGAATGGGCCCCTGACACCGAGCCGGGCCGCTGCTACTTCTCGCACTTAGTAACCAGCCCACATGCCTCCCATCCCGGCGCCGACCAGATCTACGTCTCTATCACCGGCAGCTGGCTTATCGCCGTCATCCTTTCTAGCGTCTTCGTCGGTGTTCGCGGGAGACGTTGGATTCTGCTCCTCGCCTCGCTCCATTTCCCCTTGCACCTGTATATGGCGATTGCGCTGCGACAGGCAAACCAAGGCAGGTTCGAGGGGGAGGTCAAGCACGAGAACGAGTGGGACTTTGGCCAGACGACGGCGGTGGTTCTTCTGGGTATTGCCGTGGTCGAACTCATCACTAAGGGAAAACAGTACTATGATTTCGAGAGGTATGTGACGAAGCATGGTGCTCTGCCCGGTGTAAATGGAAATGGTCAAGGGCCCCAGAAAGATGTGGAGGCCATTGGGAATGGAGCTACATATCCTCTTGAGACGTTGCCGGGTAAAGATGAACAGAGCCCTGAAGCAAGGCACTTGCTGTCCAAGAGACATGCTACGTCTCCACCTTGAAAGGGCTAGTTAAGAGAAACTGCGTTGGGAAGCGCGCAACCAAAGTTAGAAAGAATTGACTTTGACAACTATAATGATGATGAAGAACATATTTGTTAGGTTTTATGTATGTACATACCTCGGCATTATACTTTTGTAACGGGCTACGGCCTGATAATATAGATCGCTATAATTCTGCTTTTATGACGATTCCGCTACGGAAACTTCCTGTTTTCTTCTAGGCTTTTGGTAAAACAATCTGTGGCCTATATAGATTGAATCAAGTTTTACTCTGGCCCTTTACAATATTGACTCTAACACTCTCACAGGTTGAGCGGACAGGGAGTCGGGCTGGACAGGCGAACTTGCAAGGGACATAGCGATAGGTGCAAAATAAAGGGAGAAAGAGGAGGACACGGTGAGATTGAGCCGTTTTACATCCTCTGGTATTTCCTTGGTCTTTCTTTCGTCCTTTCGTGTCTATGTGTCTATGTGTCTACGTTCTTTACATTTGTCATTCTCAATTTTAACACTACTCATGACTGTAGGATGTCAAGCTTTTAGATGACATTGTCAATTACCAATAATTCAAAGCTCCAGAGCACAAGCTAAAATATAGTATATCACATATAGCAGCAGAAAAAAAAAAAAAAACTAGAGCGCCAGAAACAGGGCTAAGTCAAGGGCAAAAAGACCTAGCATGGTTATTAGACATATGGAAACAAGCCCAATTTGACGGCAGGATACAATTAAGTCATCTTCATCAGATAATCAGCAACTGCGACACAATTTGTCTTCCCAGCCGGGTTCGCTCACAAACAACCAACTTTAATACACAGGTTTAGTTGTTTTGCTGGTTGTTAAGGATCCGGAGGATAGCCAGGAACAGGTTCAGAATATCCAAGTAAAGCGAGATGCTTGCGGCAATCTCCTCCTCAACATGGTAGTGTCTCATAATTAACTGCGTGTCAACAAGAATATAACCGGAGAAGATTAACGCCGCCAGCCCGCTGTAGATGAGCTCAACGGTAGAACTGTTCGGGAGGAACGCAGCCACGAAGCCGAACAGGATCAAGAACCAGAGCGCACCAAACAGGTACGGCATCCAGTTCGTGAAATCGTACTTCGTCTGGCATGCGAAGAGCGTGAGCGCAACGAACATGCCGAGCGTCAGGATAAGGGCTTGCACTACGATGCGCGCGTCATAGAAGGACGTCACGACACTGATGGAGTAGGCCTCGAGAACCGTGAAGGCTGTCAGGAAAAGAAGGTTTGCCGGGTAGCTCTTGCGCTTCCAGTATGTTACGAGCATGAAACCCAAGGCACCAAAGACTGAGACGATCATCAGCCAGAAGTTGGACTGGATCCATAGGCGGTAGCTGTCGCTGAAGAAGGAGATCGAGCTCATAATGGTTGTTAGAAGGAGCTGGGCGGTTCTGGGTGTTTGAAGCTCATGTTAGTCTCGCGATCATGCGCTTGTTCATCGAATAAGGGATTTATGGGATAGGACTGAGACATACAGGATGGCATAGACCTTTCGGACGAATTGCATCCGGATAGGTAACGTTCCTTCTGCGACCATTCCACCGAACTGGATGGTGTTAGCATCATTTCTTTCTTTCTTTCTTTCTTTCTTTCTTTCTTTTCTTTTTCTTTTTCTTTTTTTTTTTTTGCGTTGCTAGTTTTTCAAGGCGTGGTTGATTATCGAAGGACATAGTGGATACATACTTTGAAGTCATCGGGAACATTGTCGTCCTCACTGCGAGGCGCTTGGGAGTATTCGGCCGTTGCCTGATAAGATGGCGGGGGCTGAGTGTATGCGCGGTCCTCAAACGAGTCCCGCTGAGGAGCTGGCTCATATCTAGTATTAGCAGCCATGGTGCTAACCGATGTGTCGATAGGGTATCAATCTAGAGGAAAGCGCAGCATGCAAGTCGATGGCGAAAGATGTATTACAATGAGATTGAGAGATGTGAGATGACAATCAATGGGGGCCTACGGGAGCTTCTAGAACGTGACGTCGGAGACTGTCACGTGATGTTATATGGCTGACTGCCTCAGGCGGAGACGTACATCGGCTTAAATTTCATTCTTTCGTCAATGTTTGTATTTCGAGCAGAGACAATATATTAGACAAATCCTCGTTCTTACATGTATTTATAGCAATGGCTCTCCACACAGAACAGAGCCCCTGTCGCAGATCATAGTGTCGCTCATAAAGTCCGGTCTACTCCTCTTAAGCGATGTACATATATAGGGTAAGGCAAAATATTAACACTGTGAAACTATACTAAATCTTTATATATATAATATAGACATAGAAACAAAAAGGACTGGAAGAGAAAAAAAGGTGCGCAATGAGAGAATGTCACATATCCTAATTGAGACCGAAATACTGATGAACAACCAAAATATATCCCCAACGCCTATCAATGGTATAGTAGTATTGACTCAAGAGTGAACCAAAGTAAACCTGTTTCTCTAAACCAACTGAGACGCAAATGAGAAAAGGAAACGGAAGGAAAAGGCAAAGGAAATGGAAAGAAAAGTGAAAAGAGAGAGAGGAGAGCAATGAGTGTATGGGAACAATAAAAGAATTGGTAGTAACGGAACTGAAACGTTACGAGTTACCTGTCTAGCAGAAGAAAAAGATGCCCTGCGGCATCGATAGGGCGGTATATCAATCTAGTCGTTTCTAATGTGAAGCGATGAAAAGTGAGTTGGTGATGAGACAGACAATCATGACAATGACTCCGTATATTGCGAGTGCCAGACTCAGCTTCCGCAGAACGGCCTTTCGCCAATGACGAGTTCCGCGGCGAAGGATGCCACTCTCTGTAAGCGAGTGCGCCTGATTATCTAGATCATCGTTGTCATCACCATCATCGGAAAACATGCCTTCAGCCGCTTCGTCATCTTCTTTCATCAGTCGTTGGTGGGCAGGTGAGTCAGGCGAGGAGATCTTATAATAGAACAACCCTGGGAGAATGAAACTAATGCTGGTACTGCCTGTGCTACCAACGTATGCAAGCACCGCTTCGAGAGAAGAGACGGTCATAGCAACAACGTAACTTAGCACTAAGATTGTCGTCGTAATGACTGAGAAGCGAAGATCACTCATGGGCTCGGGTGTTCGGTTGCCTCGTGGACCTAGCAAAGGATGGCGGTGAGGCGAATTGTCGTTATTGTTTGAAGACTTAGGTTTCCACTTCAAAACTGCGTCAACCGAGGCGCGGCACGGGTGACATTGAAGGGGATATGAGAACATGACCAGCATAACGATGGCAGCGCGTCCGATTGTCGCCCATAGCCCAGGGGGGTACATGCCGACGATATTTCCTCCAACCTTGTCTCCAAACGAAAGATATCCAGTAATGGCGACAAGAACGTATGTTGCAGCAGAACTTCCAATACTGGCAAAGACAACCCCGGTCGTCCTAAAGTGGCTATTGTTCGCGATCTCGTTCAATATCGAAAACATCTGTCCGGCAATTAGAAACAAATCTCAACCCGGTGGAAAAGAGGGCAAAACTATACATTCTGGTGGCATGTGAATGCGAAGACAATCACAGGAAGACTGCTAAGCATTGGAACGGGACCGGCCCAATGAATCACACGAACTGGGCCACGATCCGCCATTGTATCACCAATCACGAAGTGGTAGAGAACCAAAACCACCAAATAGGCCATCGAAACCAAAGCTGCAATGCTGGTGTACTTGAGGGAATCTAACCGGCGAAGGTAAGAGAGTGGGATAACAACCAACCTGGTATCTGTGGTCAGTACGAGTTGAGCTTCCAGCACAAAACAACATACATAAAAGCTGTTACCCAGAAATGCCGGTCCACCAAGAAGTCATAGTCTGGGGTGCCACCAACAAAACCCTGAACGACTCCCGGCATTAGGTCTCCAATGATAATTAGGTAACTGACTCCCACTCCGAAACACTTGATCGCAATGGCGGCATCGAAGATCACGGCGGCATTAGGGTAGGTAAGCTGGGACAATGCGAAGAATGACGCCGTTCCCCGGTCCAAGTACTGTGCACATCGTGACTGAAGGTAGAGACCGAACCCCGCCGTCATTCCAGACCATAATATCACGATGACACCCAAAACGATTCCCATGTGAGATATAGCCAGAGGCATAGCAAGAACACCGGCGCCGACGACTAACATATCACACCGGTATTAGAAAACAGATATCAAACTGACCGCTTATCTGTCTACTCACTCGTATTAACCAAATTGATCACACAGCTGATCCAGCTGGCTTGACCATGAAACCCCGGGTCCCGTTTCCCTCTTATTCCACGCCTACAGGATGGGCAAGTACCCCTAGTTAGCAACATGCGACCATTAAGGGCGATATCAATGCTTGGAAATTTTATTCAAGATACCTTCGCGACGCGTTTCGAAGTCCCTCTGCGGGACCAACCCCGACAGTAGCCTCATCATCCAACATTTTGTGGGGTCGTGTAAGGCGATCGAGTCAATAGATAAGAAGGTGGCCACACGGCGTCGGAAAAAAAGCTGTTATCAACCAACTCAAGTTGCGACCGGTGTGACCAACATAATAGCCACTCGTACCAGCAACGCAACCAGGCGAAGGTGGATGAGAGAAAGAGAATGGGAAAAAAAAGCGAGCGAGAAGGAGAATAAAAGGGTAAAAGGGGAAAAAAATCAAGGGTAATACCAGAAGATAAGGGAAGATGACAGGTTTGAATATGTTGCCAGCCACGGGCGGAGTTGCGACAAGGCGATAAATCGACGGGCACTAGACCCTTTCCGATCGCTGGGCGGATTTTCTCCGCATTTGATGACCTGGTTTGATTCAAGATCACGGGAGAGGGATCTTTTTACCCGTTACGTTCTCTGTTCTCGATCTAATAAGATCTACTACTGTACCATGTTCTGCAAGGGAGAGAGCCATGGAAAGGGATGTTCTTAATTACTAAATAAAGGCCATGTCTCAGATGCTTTCCCTTCACAATTTCGGTGTTCCCCATCCTTTCTGCGATAATAACCCAAAGACTTCGTCTTCTAAGACGTTCATATCCGACACCGTATTACCGGCTCTTGTCCCAGGGCCCGGATCATTAATCGCACTCACAGAGCGCACGGTTTTGGACACCTCCAACACAGTTCCTCCACTTACTGGAAACTGTGGTCCTTGACCTGTCCTGTCACCGATAATTTCACTGACCTGGTCCTGTTGAATGAGAGCTAACATGACTTGAGCTACCTCCTCGGGGGTGACCCATTCATCATTCGCTGTATCTACTATCTTTAGCTTCTCCGGATGGTCGGTCCACAATGGGGTCTTTATCACGCCAGGGGCAACGGCTGTCACGCGAATCCCAAATTTTCTGTCAAGCTTGCCCAGCGACCGCACAAGGCCGTTGATACCGTGTTTGGTAGCGACATAAATGGGAGCTGCCAAGGCTGGATTCTGGCCCGCAATGCTGGAGATATGAACTATGTGTTTAGGACGACCGTTCGTCCGACGGCGAACGAAATGGGCCAGAGCAAGTTGCGTAGTGCGAATCGGATGTGTCAAATTGATATCTAGCAGTGCATATCGGTTGCCATGTTGCGCGTCTCGACTTTCAAGAGTACCGGGAGGGCGCCAGAAATTACTCCAATGCTACACGACCAATTATGTGAGAACCATGGCTTGAGGTATTGAATGGCGGTGTGCCACCGCAACCTGCAGATTGGTTGACATTTGAATGAAGAAAATACGTACCGGTTCGTAGACCCCAGCTCCAGGGCACACTACATCAATTTCCCCGAACTCCTTCTCGGCGACCTCGAACATCTGCTCAAGCTGTTTCCAGTCGGTCACGTCCGTCTTCTGGAAGACGGCTCGGGGACTACTGGACGATGTCGAGTATTTATTAACAAGTTCCTGCGCTTCCGGACGAAGCGCTAAATCAGCAATGAGTACATTGCATCCATGCTCCAGCAGCAGTTTGGCGAAGGCAAAGTTAATTCCTACACTCGTGATTTAGTAAACTCCCTATGACTCCGAATGTAGAAGAAGCACTAGCTATCCTGCACATACCAGAGCCTGCCCCAGTTACGATGGCAGATCTTCCTTCGACGGAGAATGACATGTTGAAGGAGAGACGGGTAAATAGTCCTTCAGAGTGGAGTGTAAATGTCTAGGGAATTGAAGTTGGATCCTACGGTGACTTTATACGGCCCGCAGGCATTCCCAGGACCTTCGGGGATCATTGCTACGTCGACGGTGGCTGTAGTTCCCCTCTTGGGAAACGTGGAGTGAATTCGCGGGGCTGCATTAACCCGAGGGTAGGTGGACCGACTCGGAAAGAAAACCGAAGTTTGACATACTGGGTTTTTATGCAATAATGAATAGCTGTATGGAGTATTTAGGTTCGTACAATAAGTGTACGTAGTATGGAGCTCCATGACTGGGTTTAAATAGATAGGTGCGCCCGATGTGTATACTGATATGAACCTATACTTACTGGATATTCAAGGATATCGTAAGCCTTTCCTGTTTTGGATAAATCCCGGGGTTTCAATCCATTAATCAGGGTCCAGACTCAGAGACCTTGCTCCGTGGGTATTTCGTATCACGGACCACCAGGAAGCGCTCAACGGGCCTGCTCAGGGAGCAGTCATGTGATCCAGTAATTGTTCGATATCGATGTTGGGAAGTAGCTCTTGAAAGTCGGAAACGGACACATATTCGTTTGACTCAGACGGAATGGAATCTCCCAGAATAGCAAAGGCTACACTGGCAATTCCAACCTCTAATTCAACCAGGGATGTTGCCAAAGCAGGGTCCAGAAACAGTTGCATCTCGTTGATTGTTGTTTCAAAACAGGCTCCATAATGTTGATGAAGCTTTCCACGAAGCCCGGGCTCCCTTCTGGCTGTCAGAGAGTCAATCTGACATTAGAGGGCTACCAGAGGTTAAAGTGATCGAGTCATGCGCCGCCTATGCGGAAGTTTGTTAATTGGAAGTTTATGGTGCCGCTCCAAGTTTGAGATGGATTACCTCAAGGTCCACCTTGAAGAGCGTGATAACTGCCGTGCCAAACAGGAATTATATAGCGTGCGAAGCCTTTTTCGGATGGGTTTGATTTATAAGCTCATCACCGGGACACCTGCCTTGTCTAATATGTCACGGAGGAGTTCTTTGCTGCGGCCCTAAATCACTGTTCCAGTTTGGATATTCCCTGATCTTCTGATAAAGTGGACTTCATCCCAACCCTTACAAGTACATCATCGAAATATGGTGTAGGGATTGACTGGTTTCCCGTTCATTCTGGCTTCCCCGAAAATCTCAGATGATACTTCGTGGCACTCATGTGATTCGCAAACCCCACTGACCGTATCCAGACCTGTAAGAGGTGGTCAGCATATCTTAAGTAACTAACGTAGATCAATCAGACTATATGGTGATCGATTTCCTGACCATCAACAAAGATGTTCGGATGCTATCATCCTGCGGAATTCCGTTCAGCCTAGTACATTAGCGCTGATTCTAGACACTGGTAACGGTATCTAAACTGATTTAAGAGTACGTTGTATTTATGAGCAAATTCGATTTTCTAAGCAAGAACCACGCCGTTTTCTGTATGGGGAATACATAGTCACTGTTGCCTCACTTATTGGCTAGGCAATTAGCGTATTAGTAGATACAACATGATCCAATCTCTCTTTAGTCTTGCATCACCTTATCTTTCCGATGACATGGGTCGGGCCATAATCCTTGTTGTTCCTTCCCTGGCCTGAGAGACAGAGGCTTTCTATTTTGTAACCACTTAGCTCAAACCAGGCTACCGCTGCTGGTAGCAGATCAGCGATGGGTAGCAGTTTATCGCCCTGCTGGTCCTCGGTTGCAGTCAATGGCCTGCGCGTCTCGAACGTATCCTTGAAAATTGAAAGAGCACAAACACACAGTTCGGAGCCACATACGCCCCAGGCGCTGAGGCGGGCTATAAAGGCGTTGAGGTTATGCCGCTCTGTCGCCGGTAGCTCGTCGGCTGCGTTCCATGCCGCTTGAAACTCCTGCGCAAGGAAGGGTAGATCAACCCAAATCTTTCCGTTAGAGGTTGAAGCCTCCTCTTCGACTCCCGGGGTTGTATTCCTGCGACGTAAAACGCCCATCTCTCGGGCGTGCAGGATTTGGCCTGCCAGGCGATCCTGGGCGGGGTGTTTGGCATCTGTGATTTTGGCACCTTGAATGATCATGTTTCCTTTTAATAGGCAGGGGAAGGAAGGGCGGAATTTTGTAGGGCTTTACACATAGGCAGCAACGTACGATCGTGTAGGCCTACATGAGGCGGGGTCAGCAGAGTCAACTTCTACTACTAGTACGAACTTCCTTGCTTATGCATTGTGTCATTCATTACCTCCCAGTAGGAGCAACCTAATATTCCCTCGACAGACTCTACTGTTAGTTTCCAAAGCTAGCGAAGAATTTCCACTGTCGACTATTGTCGAGGCGGACTAGTCCAGGGCATGAAAAGGTCCCACTCAAACCCGATTTACATATTATGCCAATGTTTTCCTTCTTCAACTGTATGAGTGTTACGAACCCCGGACTAGAGCAGACATTGCCAAAATAATGTAGTCTTGATAACAATAAGCGGTCGAGCATATTGCATGACAAAATATGTAGTGCAGCATCATTAAATCTTTTTCTGCCAATCAGAACGTATGAATTAGGTTAAGATTTAGTGGCAACATGATTACACATCGATCTAGCGGTTATCTTCCTAACATAGTAATCGGACCGACTACCGTTCTTGGGTTTACCGACAATTTCTCCGCATATGTACTTAGCCCTGGGGTAATTGGGAGCCATATAAAGTCGCAAAAGACCCATTCGTAAAAAAGGAGAAAGTCAATTATTTCTGTAGCTTAAGCAGATCTACACAATATGGCAATGTCACGACTTCTCTCCCGATCGGCAGTTCGGGCTGCCTCTACTTCAACTTCCGCTCAAACAACCAAGGCGGCGGGAGATATTTCAAGCGTTTTCCCTAGTTTGAGACCAGATTACAAACCAGAGCCTCTGCCACCGCGCTTCAAGGATCTAAAGTTACAATACTTCGAGAAGAATGAAGAAGCCCTGAAGCAAAGCTGGAAGAGACTACTCTCCAGCTTAGAAGAGGAAGTTGATAAGATCAAGTCAAAAGGAAGCGATGTATGTTCTCAATATCTAAGTGGAGATGGCTTATGTGGGCAAGGTCGCTAACTTCACGCCAGATCATTCCTTCCGTGGATTATGCGGACGTGGTTTCTGGAAATGTACCAGAGAAGGTCCTTGCGGAAATCCGTCACCGCGGAAGCGTAGTAATCAGAAATGTGTTACCTCGTGGAATGGCTAGAGAGTACAAGGAGCGCATTGAGGACTATGTTGCTGCCAACAAAGAGCGTGTGAAGGCTTTCCCACCAGATTCACCTGCAGTATATGAGTTATATTGGACTCAATCACAGGCAGAAGCCCGGGCGCACCCTAACATGCTTGATACACAGCGCTTCTTGCAGCGTTTGTGGCATTCATCTGACCCTAAAACGAAAATTTCTACCCGAAACCCTCTCACATACGCTGATCGACTCCGGATCCGGATGCCTGGTGATTCCAAGTTCACCCTTGGTCCCCATATCGATGGTGGCTCGCTCGAACGGTGGGAAGATCCTGAGTATTCCCGGGTTTACACCAAGATCCTCGAGGGTAAATGGGAAGAATACGACCCATGGGATGCAAAGCATCGCGTCTCGGCCAAGATGGATTTGTACAACGGTGCTGGCGCCTGCTCCATGCTGAGGTTCTTCCAAGGATGGCTTTCCATGTCCCAAACAGCCCCAGGCGAGGGCTCACTGCATGTGTGCCCCATGGTTGTTCACAGCACCGCCTATACCATTCTCAGGCCATTCTTTGACACTCAATCGCTGCAGCCCGCATTGGATGCCACTTTCCCTGGATCTGTCCCTGGAGCTTGCCAAGAATACAACCCCGTCACCCATCCACACCTGGAGCTGGAAAGCACTATGGTGTCGGTGCCTGAGGTCGGACCTGGTGACTACGTTGCTTGGCACTGTGATTCTCTGCACTCTGTTGATAAGGAACATCAGGGCAAAGGAGACTCGAGTGTACTCTATATCCCGGCCACTCCTATGTGTGACATGAATGTGGATTATCTGCTCAAACAACGTCAGGCAGCTCAAACTTACTCCCCGCCCTGGGACTTCCCAGGTGCTGGTGGTCCCGGCGAGAGCGGCTTTAAGGGTGCACTTGACTGGAACTCGCTCAACCCCGAGGGTTTGCGTGCTATGGGCCTAGGCAATAAGCTATGGGACATTACCCCTGACATGAGTGAGGGCGAAAAACAGGTTGTTAAAGCTGCTAACAAGGCATGCTTTGGTCAGCCATGAGGTTAGATTATTTTCCGATTTTGATCCCATTTTTCTTAGTGAATATGTCGATGTCATTCAGGCGTATACCAGCAGCGGGTTGAATTACATAGATCGAAACAATTGTATTATATAGACAGCGAAAATATAGTAGTTTTGGAATGGAATATCAACGCGCCATGCGTTTTTAAATGTTGAACCCACAAAGTTTGATATGTTTGCTTGCTATCATTTCATAGCTCCGCACTAGCGTCAGTCGAGATCACCGCCCGCAGCCTTGACTGACAGGGAATCCCGATCAACATTACAGCAGGCCATACTCTCATTTCTGATTTATCTTCGCGACCTCCATGACCAGTTTTCTGTTGAGGTAATAACCATGCGGCTACAGGCGACGCTCCTTCTGCTCGCCTCGTGCGTTCCCTCAGCGCTAGCTATCTATCGCGACGAGGTCGACCATATTGATTTTCACCATGCTCTACTCGGTACTCCTTCGTCCCATTCGACCTTCTTCCTCAAGCCTTCTTCCTCCTCTGATGCGTCCCTGCTCTACACTTTATCCGAGAAATTGCTCCTTGGTGCGGTAAATCCTAGGGATGGGTCGGTGGTCTGGAGACAAAATGTCTCCCGATCCGCTGCAGCCGCAGACAACGGCCTCTTACGCGCTTCCGATGGGACCAATGCTATGGTTAGCGCAGTGGGTGACTATTTGTCATCGTGGAGTGCTCTGGATGGTAAATTGATCTGGGAGAGGTGGTTTTCCGATGAGCACGTAACAGACCTTGAGCTGCTGGAGCTAGAGGATGCCGCTTCGCCTTCGGCCGTTAAAGACACGATTGCGCTTTTCGGGGGTAAGGCGGGTATGGTCAGAAGGCTAGATGGTGATTCGGGCAAGGTCAAGTGGGAATATAAAGATGAAAGGTTCGATCCCAGAAAGTCTGATTAGCCGTCGCCAGTGCTGACGTTTGGTGGGCACTCCCTCTAGTGGCGATCTCCCTTTCCAAGTCTCGTCTTCCTCCACCGACGTTTTCTATATTTCTTTGCAGTCGGCTCTCCTGAAGGGATATAAGATCAAGGTCACGTCTATGGACCTCTTGACCGGTCGTCAGAACCAGCAATTGACCCTGAACTCGGAAGGTGACATCTCCGGGCCCGAGTCTGTGCTTTTCGTGGGCGCAAATACCGCCTCCCCTCTGATTGTCTGGACAGATAAGGCTCAGAAGGCACTCAAAGTAAATGTGATTGGTACGAAGCAAGTTAGCTCCCTCAACATCGACAACACCAGTGGCGAGGATCTTCGTTCAATCACCGTCCATGCTCCGAAGAGACTCAACTCATTGCCCCATTTTCTGGTTCATTACCAAACGCAATCCGCATCCTGGGCTGAGGTTTACCACGTCAACTTGAAATCCGCAGTTGTATCCAAGGCTTACGATCTGCCTCACTTGGAAGGCTGGTCTGCCTTCTCCACGAGTACCAAGGATGCAAATGTTTACTTTACCAGGATCACGCAGTCGGAAATGACTGTTGTATCTTCTGCGTCTCATGCCATCTTGGGGAGGTGGCCTCTTCAGTCCCCTCCGATGGAGCGCGCTCTTCATGCAGTGTCAGAAGTTGTCCCGAAGGGCGATAGCGTCGCAGTCCGATCGGCAGCTGTTTTGGAGTCAGGCGACTGGCAATTACTCCGAAATGGCCAACCTGAATGGACTAGATACGAGGCTTTGGCTGGCGCTCTGGCTGCCAACTGGGCTGAGGAAGAATACCAGGAGGAGCTGGTCCACCAGCTCGAGGTTGAAGGTCATGAGAGCCTTTTTGCAGCGTACACGCACCGTGTCAGGCGCCACATCAAAGATCTCGAGCATCTTCCCGAGTGGCTAAAAGACCTGCCCAAGCGCATCATTACCAGTTTCTTGACCGACGAGGTTTCCAACCTGGATAGCTTCGGCATCTCCAGACAGGTTATCGTTGCTACTGAGAATGGACGTGTCTATGCGCTCGATGGTGGAAACCATGGCGCCGTTTCCTGGAGTGTGAAGGCCGCGGAAGCAGAAACTTGGGCTCCTGTCGCAGTGGTCACCCAACCAGGCCTTGCCACTGTTTACACAGATGATGGCAGCTCGGTTACCTTGAACGTCGCCTCTGGGGAAATCATCAAGCGCACTCCGGCCACTACCAAGCTCCGTTCTGTCGCTGTGCTCAACGACTCCCCCGCGCCCCTCGTCGTTGGGATTGACGAGAACGGCACTCCCGTGGAGACTGTGGATCGTCCTGGTTTCTTTGTCACCCTAGGCAATGGTCGCGTGCTGGGCTGGAGTGCCAACAACAACGAGTTCCCCGTCTGGGAATTTTTACCCCCACAGGGCGAGAGAGTCATTCATGCCACCTCCCGACCAGCTCATGACCCTGTAGCATCGATTGGTAAGGTGTTGGGCGACCGATCCGTTCTGTATAAGTATTTGAACCCTAACTTGGTTCTTGCTACCGCCGTGGGTGATAAGTCAGCTACTTTCTACCTGTTGGATGCGATTTCTGGCAAGGTCCTACATGCTAGCACTCAAAACGGCGTTGATACTACCCAGCCAATCGCCTCAGCCATCTCCGAGAACTGGTTCGCATACTCTTTCTGGGGTGACGTCGTCAACCCATCGGACGCCAAGGGCTACCAATTGGTGATTTCCGAGCTGTATGAGTCTTCGATACCTAATGACCGTGGGCCACTGGGTGCCTCATCCAACTACTCTAGTCTTGATGCACTGCCCCTTCCACATGTAGTGTCTCAGTCCTTCATCATCCCAGAACCAATTTCCCACATGGCCGTTACCCAAACCCGTCAGGGCATCACCACTCGCCAACTCCTTTGCACACTCCCCTCGACCAACTCACTGATTGGCATTCCTCGCCCCGTACTAGATGCCCGCCGGCCCGCCGGCCGCGACCCGACCCCTACGGAGGTCGAAGAGGGCCTATTCAAGTACAACCCCTTCCTCGAATTCGATGGCAAATGGTACCTCTCTCACGCGCGTAATGTGGCCGGCATCAAGAAAGTTCTCTCGGCACCAACGCTTCTTGAGAGTACTAGTCTGATTTTCGGCTTTGGTGGCGATATCTATGGCACCCGGGCGACACCCAGCCAGGCTTTTGACATCTTGGGCAAGGGATTCTCGAAGTTGCAATTGCTTATGACAATTGTGGCACTGACTATTGGAGTGGTAATTCTGTCTCCGATGGTATGTTTCTTGACTCCTTCTGTGGCAGAGTTTGCGTCGCTAATGTTTTATCACAGGTCCGGAGAAAGCAGGTCAACCAGGTTTGGAAGTCATCGTAGTTGCCCCTGGAAGCATAGAAGACAAAGGAAGAACTGGAACATAAATATATCAATAATGACATAGCTACCATTCTAGTGTAAAACTACGACACAAGTTAAAGAAAGCCATGGTGCATCTCTATCATAATAGATAAACCCTGCAGTGAGTAATAATTAGGAGGTATTTAAAGCAATTCCCCCTCGTCAAAGTAATATGACTTTCAGACCTTATGAGCCTTTATTAGGTTGCACAGAAGTTTGGCCACCTAATATAATCCATAATCTTAATAACACTAGCATCGCGCAGTACCGCAACATCCAAGGGGTGAGAAAAAGGAACTCAACATTGCCAATTATAGCAGGGGAACGTCAAGAAAGCGCTCAATAGTGCCGCCGTGGGGTATTCAGGCCGAGACTGAGGATCACTAGGGACAGTTCGTGGTTCTAACTATGGCTACTTTTTTCATATCACATAACCAAGCCATGGCTGACACAAACAATATTTTCTTGGCTTTCGCAATCACCTGACGAGAAAAGCCCCATCTACCTACTTGAATCCCTTTCTACTCCTGCAGAAGCCCAACACCGTCCAATCGGAAGAATAATTTCTAGAATTTCTTGATTGAGAGCCGCATTCTACTCAGAACTGGGCCGGTGGCGGTCGATAAGTTGGAAAGATTGCTTATTTTGTGGAAAAGCGTCAAAAGCCTACGTTAGACTGCAAATAATAGATTGATATTGCAAGTCAATTAGAGGGGTTCTTTTCGTCAAAGTTCGGAGAGATGTGACCTGCTCCCACTGGAGACACCGACATCGCCTACGGTTGTGTCTTTCTATACTTAGAAGATATCATCCGATCTATCCTGGGCAATAGATACTACAAATGAACTCGCTATAGAGGAAATCATTCCGGGATATGAATCTAGGTTCTTATTTTTTTGTATTAATGTTGTCATTTTTTAAAGCTCTAACCTTGGACCAGTATTTTGTCCCATTTACTTGCGCTGCTGGTGTTGTAGATGTGGCGGACGTGGCCGGCTTGTTGGCGGGTGAGTTTGGGGTATTTGGTTGTGTCGAGTGGGAGGGTGGGGGGTGCCATTGTTGGTTGTCTCTTTGGTAGGTTGGTGTGTAGTGTGGATTTCAAGTTGTAAGGGGTTGATTGGGTTTCTTTGGTTTTTATATACTTGGGATTGTAGGATATGGGGTTATGCTACACTTGTAACTTGGAATGCAGGTGTTGTTGCAGTATATGGTGAGTGAGTTCATTGGACACTCCGTACGTGTGCTATACTGCCATTCAAGCCTCTATGCGGCTACTGCCGGTGGGCTGTCTGATGTCTACTAGTGAAATGTCAGAAGTACGTCGTAAGCTCGGAAGGGTTGTCTCGGGGTGGTTGATTTATTCCCATGTTCTATCCTCACTAGATTTAGTATAGGCCGTAGGGAAATCCCCCCCTCCCCCCTATATACATTATTCCGAGGCAGCAATAAGACCTATTAATACTACACCTGGCACCTTTGGAACAGTATAAGATAGGCTTCCAGAACTCCTCAGGTCAGATCACCTATATTAATCTTTCTTATAAGAAATTAGAATGTGGACTTTGTTAGTAGGGTTACCTACTCCCTCTGCCCTTGTAGTCGACAGAAATATAATCAATCACTAGAGACAAACCTAGACGAATACATAAACCTGTTTCAAGTACACGACAATCTCCGACGTAACAAAAGTCAAATCCCAAGGAACCGATATGAAAAAGCCTCAACTGGCAAGGATCACTCATCTCGGCATAACTTTCATGGCTCTCGGAATGAACCTACTACAAGTGGCCAACCGAATACCTTCGTGAGTCGATATTCGGAATAAAATTCCCCAAGGAACCCCGACTCCGATGCCTGGACCCTGAGTTTCTGAGAGCTTTGTTTTCCCCTTGAATGCCATTATACATTTGTTAACCCTTTATTCGATGATAACTATCGGCGTTCTATATTGCTCGGTAGGCAATAATAGGGTACTTCGCACGGCATAGCCGGGGAACCAAACTGGGATACCGAATCCCGTCCCCCCGGAGTTAGTGAGACATCCAATTCCGAGATTCAGGCAGCATTATAATCAATCTCCATAAATGCCCGCAAAAGCATAATGAATTGATAGGCCGAATGAACAAATGGCAGGGATTAATTACTAGATAGCGACGTGATAGGGCTAAAAAAAAAAGGGTCACGTTAGATAAGCAAGTTGTTCCCTGGTTGCGCTGACCGTCTTTACTCCGAGTCCTGGGGCACGTTCTTGCGCGTCTCAAAAGGTAATTCATAAAATCCATAGACTATCACGGATGGTCTCTGGTATTACCTTGGTTCTCAAGATGTCGACTCCAGAGCCCACGCCCGATGCAACCGAACGCACCCCGCTTCTCTCCACCAGCTTGGATGAGATAGCGGATGATGATGAAGGGGCCATTTCGCCGCCTACTGAGCCAAATGATGGTTTGAGAAAAGTCACAGATTCACTCCCACTCTCAGTGTGGCTCGTTGCAAGTATCGAGCTGTGCGAGAGATTTGCTTTCTTCGGGACTCTAGGGCCTATGCAGAACTACATCCAGAACCCGAGGGATGATCCTTTGCGGCCTGGTGGAATTGGTACGTGTTACTCCAACGTATCTAATCTGTAGCTCTGTCTGACGTGATTAGGGCTGGGACAAGCCTATGCTACGATGGTGAACCAGGGCTTTTTGCTGTGGTGTTACATTACTCCAGCAGTGGGCGCTGTTGTCGCGGAACAGTACCTTGGGAGAGTTAAGACCATTATTCATTCTGCTGTGGTCTACATCTGCGGCTTGACGATGCTCTTCTTGTCCTCGTTGTCAATTGCTCAGGATTCAGGCGTGTCGCTGGCTGGGCTGCTTTTGGCCCTGTTCTTTATAGGCATTGGTGCCGGCGGCATCAAGGCGAATGTCAGTTCACTGATTGCAGAGCAATACACCGGTCCCAAGGAAGCCAAACGTGTCTTGAACCCAGGGGAAGAGGTTATCGTCGACCAGGCTTTAACAATAGAAAGGTACATATCACATCATATACCTAATAGCCTAGACCAAGTCAACACTAACACTGCAGCAAGGATATTCTCAACATTCTATCTATTCATCAGCATAGGCTCCTTCGGACCCATGCTCACAACAACACTCGAGCAAAAGTACGGCTTCAGCGCCGCATTCGCTCTCCCAATTCTAGTCTTCCTCATCGGCTTCACAGTCATCATAGCCAGCAAAGATCAATACGTCACCAGACCCCCAGAAAGCTCCATCGTCTTCAACGCATGTCGAGCATTCTGGATAGCAATCAAACACAAAGGAAACCTAGACCACGCAAGACCCAGCTACCTCGCCGAATCCGACCCATCTCAAAGACTCCCATGGTCCGACACCTTCATCGACGACTTGAAGAGTGCCATCTCCTCCTGCAAAATCTTCCTCCTCTACCCACTCTACTGGGCTGCCTACACCCAATTCCTAACCAACTTCGTCTCCCAAGCCGCAACCATGGAAACCCACGGTATCCCCAACGACATAATGCCAAACATCGACACCATAACAGTCCTCATCCTCCTCCCCATAGTAGACAGGGTGATCTTCCCCTTCCTCCGCCGCCACGGCATCCCAGTCCGCCACGTAGACAGAATCACAATCGGATTCATCCTCATCGGCACATCCATGTTATACGCCACTTTCGTCCAAAGAGCCATCTACGCCGCTCCCCCCTGTTACAACCACCCCCGGGCCCCAGACTGTCTGGGGGGTAGCGTCCCGAACCGCGTTTCCATCTTTCTCCAGGCTCCAGCGTATATCCTAGTTGCAGGATCGGAGATACTTGCCTCTGTAGCGGGTATTGAGTATGCCTATACCCAAGCGCCGAAGTCGATGAAGTCGTTGATTATGGCTATTTATCTCTCGGCTACTTCGGTGGGGGCTTTGTTGGCTATGACGGTTTCGCCGTTGACGGTTGATCCGTTGTTGCCTTGGTTATATGTTACTCTGGGATTGGAGAACTTTTTGGCCGGGGGTGTGCTTTGGTTTGTTTCCGGGTGATTAGGGTTGAGATATATGTAGTTGGTGGATGTGGATGTGGTATAGAGAGAAGAGAAGAGACTGGTTGGTTGGCTGGCTGGGTGGATTATGGATTGCGTTATAGAAGATAACTGATGAGCGCGTATTAGAGATTTGTGGATCGGTGCACTTTAAGTCCTGTTTGGTTTTCAAGTTGTTTTACAGTATAATAGCATGCTTTATAGACGTAGTATGGCACAGCTATATATCTACTAAGGAGTCCTAATCTTTTATACGACTACCCATACACTTCATCCGAAGAAAAAAAAGATAGATATAATAGTTCTCCATAGCCACTCCATACTTCCCCAGTAGAAGCACAAATTGCCTCTCTATCTTGATTTGTACATCAACACTTACCTGGGAGGAGAGACGGGTTCTGAATACTATAGCGACATGACATATATCTGGCTATGCAGTCTGTCTTGTGATAGACATGCAGTGTTTGAAAGGCAAGGCGATTGGAACTCATATGTTCATATCCGCACTACTGCTCATATATATGTAAGTACAACTTTTCCAGTTTGTCACCATATCCAGAGCTGTTTGTTCATGGAAGCATTAACAAGATTAAATTCTAGAAATTGCTCTAGTAAGCTGGTTTTTTTTATGTCCCTTTAACCCCATTATTTATCTTGACTAATTAAGTAGTAGTCAGGTATAAAGATAAATCCGAAAAATCTAGTGATAAACCAATCAAAGGTCCATGAAAAAAAAAAAAAAAAAAATGAAAATGAAGAATGAACACAAAAATGTAGAAGATGACTTGTCTAGACATGCATGCAATATCTAGTCTTAACCATGACGCCAGATTTTCAGAGACTTTGAAGAAGAATTATAAGCATGTGAAAAAAAATATTTCAAGTAGAATGCAATGACAACTAAGCAGCGACGTCTCCGTTGCTGGCCTTTTCGGTGGCGCCATTCAGGTCGAGCTTCTCGTTGACCTCGGCGGCGAGAGCATCGTCCGACTTCTGCTGCTCTGGGGCTGGGGTGGTGGACTCAGCCGCTTGGGATACCGGCACGGGAACGCTGCTCTTTCGGCTCTCACCATTCACCTTACCCAGAATCTCGACATGATCACCCTTGAACAGGACAGGCCCCTTGATGAAACTGGGTTTGGTCTCTCCCGCAGCGGGAGGAGTCTCTAACCCACCGACAAGTTTCCGGGCCTCGTCGTCGAGGTTGGGCATGTCGCCCCATTGCCAGTCTAGCTGGCCACCGTACTGCTTAGGGATAGTGGTCGGGTCCATGAAAGAGCTAAGAGTAGGCAGGACCTCCGCGGAAGAGAGGATAAAGATTTTGGAGGTAGTGACGGGGTCAAACCAGCGCTTGATCCAACCCCAGACGGTTGGGAAGAAGGAAGGAGCACCGATGATCTTCATTGGTTAGCACGACTCCATAAACCAAATAAACAGCGGGGTGGAACTCACAAAAATGCGGTCCAGGGTCTCCGGGTAATGCGCCGTAGCCAGAACGCTCGCGTCCTGCATGTGACCCTTCAAGTTCCAGAACTGTTTCAAACCAACACCACTGACATCAACAATGTTGTTCGAACTGACAATAGGCGTGTCGGGATGCGGGCGAGACAATTGTGAGCACAAGGGCATGACAAAACGGAGGAGGTTCTCGTAGAGGGCGAAGAGACGCAAAAGACGCTGTGGTACTGTGGAGGACTTGTGCGTTTCCGCCGTTGCGGAGGGATCGGTCATGGTGGAATTATAAGCGGCCATGTTCTTGCTGTTCAAGTGCTTGATCTCGAACACGTAAACGGGAATACCACGGCGGTCCCGGCGACCGGTCCATTGAGGGTACTGTGTCGCATTAGCAATTCAACTCCATCGCACAAGACACGCAGGTCCACCAACCATCCTCCTCGCGGCGTCATATGACTCTACATCGATATTCTCATACAGACTCTCGATGGCATTCTCCTTGCGCCAATCCTCGGTATCCTTGAACTGGCCCCAAGCGCCATTCACGTCGAACTTGCGGGCGCGCAGAAACCGCCTAGAATACCCCGTCAGTGCCATCCACCCCTAAGACCCCAACAAAGACAAACATACAGGATGGTCGCATCATCATGGCTCGCCGCCTCCTTGTCACTCGCGGGCTTGTAATATCCATTTTCTTCACATAGTTTCTTGAACTCCTGCAATTTCTTCTCCTGATCCTCGGTGAGATGGTTCAAATGTCCGGCCAGCCATTCCGTCCCCGCAGCCTGAGACGCGGACGCAACGGGGTCATTCTTGGGATCGCTTTCTAGCGCAGCGTTATCGCTCTCCTGGCTGGATTTCGTCCCCCACAAAGGCATTTTGCTCGCTTTAAATATTTGGGCTGGTCTTGGGAAGTCAAAATGTTGTTTCGGATCGTTCGGATGAAAGAGGGATTAATTGATTGATGGATTGACGCACGGGGCAGAAGATCGTCGTCGGCACGGCCGATTTCTGTTCCTTTCGCTCGGGTGCGGAACTGGATCTGAATCTTTTCAAGTCCCGGTCGGTAGTACTTAAGGAGAGGAATGTGAAGATATTGGGGTGCACAGCACTACGCGATGAAGAGCGGAATTCTCACACGACCTGAATCGGAGAATTTTGGTGACTTGTACTGACTTTAGTAACGATAAATGACTTTGGGGCTGCAGTCGGTGTCGGGCATTACTTTGAAGTTCCGCTTATGTCAGAAATTAATGCATAGTTAATCCCTGCATCCCGCGGATGGCAATTCCACGCGGTACAGTAAATCCCAAACTTTTGGTATTGATATGCAAATCCGATCTTTCCTCCACTATGCTATAGGATTCCCTAGGATAACCAAAAGAAAAAGAAAGAAATAATACACAGCCCATTTCCTGTGAGTCATTGAAAATTACCTGCAAATATTTATACACAAAAAATTCCTTTCCTTCACCTCAAGAACTTGATGTCCCAGTAAAGCTTTTAGTCCTCGGTGAGGTCACCATACTCCCACATACCGCGTCTCTCCTGCTTCGCCTCTTCCTCTTGGCTACGCAGGTGTGACAGCGTCTCTGCGGCAGAACGTTCCCAAGCCTTCAGCTTTCTGGGTACCATGGCAAGACCCTCCCGGATGAGGTCAGCATTGATGCTGTGGTCTAGGTTCTTCGACTCGGTGGGGTCCATCAAAGTAACGTGCAGAGTTCCCTCGGGAGAGACGTAGTCGACGTTGGCGACAAGCTCCCGGTTGTAGAGCTGCTCTTCCAGAAAGTCGGCAGCATCCTGCAGGTAGTCACCCGAGCCAGGGAGCTGAGCCATGGAGAGAACAGCGTCCACAGCCTGAGCACGGAGCTTCTGCACGGAGAACTGCGGCTGGCTCAAGGGCCTGAGACGAGACCAGGGAAGAACCTCGGAATTACCGAAGTCGATGTAGAGAACCTCGGCCTGCTGTTTCTCACGGTCATTGCGACGCACCTTGGCGCGATACCATTCATTATCCTCAGTGAACTTGGCGGCAACGAAATCACCGGCCTTAGGAGGGCCAGGCAATGGTGTGTCGTTAGCTTTGTTCAGGTGGAATGAGCGGAATGCATTCATCAATTCAGTGAGCGCAGAGGTGCCAGTGCCAATCTGCTGGATCTTGAGGCGGCCGTTAGTGGGGTCAACGTAGGTGACCATCACGTCACGGTAATCCTTGCTGCGCTGAGCAGCCTCATTAGCACCGTTGGTATCAGTGGTCTCCTCTTCTTCCTCCTCAACATCCTTGCTAGGATCCCAGTCATGCCAGAGCCCCTTGCGAGCTTCCTTGGCCTTCTGTTCCGCTGCAAAGTACTCGGTGGCATGTCCGGACTGCTCCGCAGAGTAGGCATGAACAGTAGCAAAACCTTCCTCGAGAAGGACCTTGGTGAAGTTCTCCTTGTTGACGTAAAGAGTGCCGATGAAGCCACCAACCTTGTCGATTGTCTCAACGTCGATTTCAACATCACGCTGCATGCAACGCCTGTTTGCTAGGTCATGTGCTTCCTGTCCGAAAGGTTCGGACTGTTCGTTGGGGTTACGGGCCGACCGAGGCGCACGAATACCCGACAGGACGAGGGTCAGCTTGGCGTTCTCACGAGGCACAAGAACTGTGAAGCGAGAGCCTGACTTGACAAAGTCCACGATAGCCGGCACGCGCTTTTGCCGTTGGAGGATGGAAACTTCCATCTTGGCCTTCTGGACGCTCTCGGAGTAGTCCTGGTACTGCTTCGCCTTGGGTGGCTTTGGGGACCACATTCCCTTACCGTCCTTCTGAGCGTCAGCCTCAGCGATCAGCAAAGAATCATAGTCGGGGGAGCGGTCGTCATCATCCTGGCGGTGGCGGATCACAGAAGCGTAGCCGGCCTCAACCAAAGCCAGAGAAATGTTGGTATTTCCGTAGATGACCGTGGCAACGTCCCTTTCTTCGTATCCCTCGGTAGCAGGCTTCTTGCCATTGATGGTAACCTTGACATGCTTTCCGATGAGCCTCTTACGGACAAACTCCTTAGCATCGGCAGCGAAGGGTGCCTGCTTGGGGTCAGAAGGCTTAGGCTGGCGAACACTGCTCAAGCTGATCTTCTTTTCTTGACCGGCCTTGTTCCTAAGGAACAGAGTATCGGCATTCAGCACACGACTAACAGTGTAGTCCTCGGCGGCCCCGCCAGCAGGACCCTTTGCGACAAGACCAGTAAACAGACCCTTCCGAGCATCCTTGGCGGCCTTCTCCGCACGGCGGAAACTAGCCATATCAGCACCGAGGAGGGGAGCGTGCAAATCGTGGCAACGGGCCAGGCCCTCTTCCAAAAGAAACTTAGCAACGTTACCATTAGGATGGAGAACGGTTGCGATCAATTGACCCTGGGGCGTGACACCTAGCAGGGACACTTGGACCTTACGCTGCTGCAACCGGGACTCGACAAACTGGTGTGCATCATCTCCGAACGGCTCAGCAGGCTGCTCCTTGCCCTCGGCATTCACCCGTCGGGCAGCTGGCGCCCGGACACCGGCGACGGCAACCACAACCTGCAGGTGCTCCTGGGGAGTAAGAAGCAGGCGAAGGACCAGCCTGTCCCCATTCAAGACTCTCTCGACGATAGCCTCCAGCGGCTTGTTTTTATATTCCTCGACGAGGGCCTTTCCATCGGAAAGTTCATAGGTGGTCTCCGTGTGGCCCTTCTCTGCTCCGGCCCAGAGACCCTTATCCTCGGACTGAGCGTGTTCCTCTAACGCGCGCAAACGCTGTAGCAATGCAGCAGTCTCTTCGGATTCGTCGGCGCGTTTACCGGCTTCCTCACGGACACGGACCCATCCTTCCTGGACGCTAATGTCGGGCAACAAGACTTCGAAAGTAGGGAGTTTGATTGTGCCATAATCGCGCTTGGCACCGGTAGGGATGGTATATAAGACGTTAAATTGGACGACCTTTCCTACAAGCAGCTCACGAAGGAATTCACGAGATTGAAAAGCATAGGACTGTAGAGCACACGAGTCAGCGATATCTCCTAGATAACGTTTCCCATAGATATTATTGTAATAAGGGGGCAAAGAATGTAAAAGAAGTGAAAGATGGCTGTTAGTGTAGTAGAAGTCGCATGGGTGTCAAAATTGGAGCTCGGCGCTCGGAGATAGAGGCCACCTATCCTGACCCCAAACAAACGGAGGGGGCAGCAATTGGGGAAACACCACGAAGAAAATTCCACTCACCTCATCGCCTTCCCTGCGCAACCTGGGCGCTGAAACATATGCCAAACTCAGGGTGCGTTCCTGTCCTGGGTTGGTGATATGCGACAGCACAACGGTGTCGCCTGACAGGACAGATTTCACGCGGGCTTCCAAAGGCATACTGGGAAAGCAACCAATGATAAGACAAGATAAAAGATTGACGACACTGGAGACCAGTGTGGGAGACAATCAACCCTGTTTTAAGAAAGCGAAGGAAAGAATGAACCGGTAAACAGTAATAACAGTAGTGATAGAATGCAAAAGGATGGGTTTATTGATTAGGGGGGAAAGAAGGTCGGGGGTACTGGAGTACGCAAAGAGAAATGAAATGTGGTTGGAAGGGGAGCTTCCAGACTAGTCCAAGGCGGACACCTGACTTTCGCTCCGGTGATTTTTGTGGGGGGGGGGAAAGAAAACAATCTGGCCAAAGGGAGATTGAATTCATTTCAACCACTGAACACTAGTCCTATTCGAGTTGATCTGGTGCATTGGAAAATCTACTGGTGCAAGGGATATGTGAATCAATAAATAATATCAAATAAAAATTCAACTCGTGTCATCATTCCTATACAATTTCTAGAATTGATTTCGCCAGGACCAGAAACCTCCTATCAGTCCTCCAGGAACCGCATAGAAGATCCGTCCAGATCAACTTTTGAGCATCACCAAGATACCTCCCAGTTTGACTTGCAGACTGTTCCACGTCTGATCCTGCCTGCACTTCACATCCTAGATTGACTAGAACTATGTGTTTAAGCAGCAATGCCAATGACACCTACACAACCATTAATATACAATTCTGCGTTAGGTCTCGATAACTGAGCCAGCCACTTACCGCAAGCGGGGCGAGCACCAGCATTGCCGGTCTTCTTGGACTCCTCGTGGCCACCACGGCCGAGGTCGTCAGTACCGGCGTGGACGACGAGAGTACGCTATGATGATTAGCCTTTTCGACTTGTTCAGTCGACATTCGAAGGGGACTTACGCCAAGAACGCTCTCGGCACCGATCAGCTTAATAAGCTTGTCCTGCTTGGAGCCGACGGCGTTACCCTCAGCATCGGTCTTGAAGTTGCCCAAGTCACCGACGTGGCGGTTCTCATCCTCGGGAGCACCGTGCTCCTTGCCGAAGGGGTTGACTAGATGACAGTAGTCAGCCTTTAACACTCATGTTTTGAGAAAGAGCAGCCGGAAAGCCAGGAACATACAGTGAGGGCCAGCGGAGGTGCAGCCGTTGGTGTTGTCACCGAACTGGTGGACATGGAAGGCACGCTCAGCGTTGGCGTCGTGGCCCGTGATGTTCCAGGAGACGGTGGTAGTGGCGTTGGCGTCAGCCTGCTCGAAGGTGACGGTGCCGGAGATCTTGGAGTCTCCACGGAGAACAGCAACTAGAGCCGTCAGTCATCATTCTCGTTTCGGAGCTAGCGGCAACAAGCAATCATTCAAAATCGGGAAAGATTCCAGAACATATGGGGTTGGTGATCGATCAAAGCGATATTCTGAGCTCTTTCAGCATGGCGTGAAGCTTATGCACCACTCGACCAAGCCCGCCAGGCTGGAACGGGTAAAACCATAACATAGCGAGGTACCGTGACAAATAAGCACCCTGGGGTTTAGATCTAGATCTAAAATCTGAAATCCCAAGCAGAAACTGGGATCGGGCCCAGTGATAGGCTGGGAGGCACACGCACGGCGAGGGGGTTGCTTCACAAGGTGCTCAAATCTGCTCACTCAAGGTCCCCCGGCCACGGTCGATCGTGGATCCTTCCCACGCAGAGCCAATAACATAGCTAACAGGACAAATAAAGATAGAGGTACCTACCAGCCTTGACCATTTTGACGGTTGGGGATTAATTTAATTTCTTGGGGAAAAAAAAATAAAGTGAAGGGACGATAGATTGATGTAAGGGAGAAGAGAAGAGAAGAGAGAGAGAAAGAGAGAGAGAAGGGGAAATGGAGGGAGATGAGGGGTAACTAATATGACGAGATTCCATCATGACTAGCTATAAGCAGTACTACTAATACAGGACTAACTAACTGAGTAGTCCCCAGTCAAGAACGGATTCGATCAGCTTCCAGTTCTTCACTGGTATTGATGTTACAGCATACAGTAAGAAAAATTGGAGAGAAACCATAGGAAACGCACCCCCACTTGGCGGGGTCTTTTCGGGAATGACGTCCTGGTGGTGTATTTTGCATGAAATGAAAATCCTACCCGCACGAGTCACCTCCCTCTTCCGGCGATTCCTAAGCATCGCCGGTCCAGATCTTAAGCCATGGCGAAGCCATTCATTACATTTACACTCTCCTTTCTTTCCTGTACTCTGTACTCTGTACTCTGTACTACTATAGTAGCAGCAGCAGTAGTAGTAGTGACACGAAATCCTACTAATAGCTGTGGCTCTACTTTGTTCCGGTTCCCCAACACAACCATCCGTACGACCCCACCATGCAGGGAGATGCGCTACTAATGCAGACCAGCGGTGTCGAGGAAGCTACGATTCATGCAGATGTTGAATTGCAACTGTGAATTTTTAGGTGGGTAGCAACCGATAGTACAATGCTGCTCAGCTTTAAACCAAGTTCCTTCCGTGCTTGCCTCGGCTAGGCCCCTTGTATCAGTTTTCCTCCAGCACGCAATTGAGCTTGACAAATGACAACTGCCCCGTTCCCACTTCCGGTTCCGATAGCTCTAGATCGACACCAAGTCCAGTCTCCCGTCTTGTAGCTTGCTTGTTGCTTTCCTACAGCTGGATTTCCAATTACGAACCCGATCAAGCAATATTTTTAAGGCAGTCCGCAATATGTAGCCACATGTGGGGTAAGAGGAAAAAGTGAAAGATAACTCATTCATGAATCGTATCTACTAAACCAATTTTGTAGGTCGCCAATTTTTACATGAGGACATTGCATGGACATAACTTTAATTAATGCAAGTGACAGTCTCCCTTTAGGCCTGGACCTTCTGCTTGAGGATGTCCTTCAGGGTCACGGCATCGGCCGCGAATTTGGAGATACCCTCACGGAGCTTCTCGACGGCCATGGCCTCCTCGTTGAAATCGAAGCGGAACAGAGCCTCGTCGTTGATGTAGGTCTTCTTGGGGATGTCAAGGCCGGCAGCGCTGGCGGCGTCGAGCTTCTTGGGGACAGCGGCGGTAGAGTTGTAGAGATCCTCGAGGAGGTTGGGCTACACGCGTCCGTTAGTACTATCACAAGTCATAGCCAATGGCGCTCAAAACTTACGGAGATGGTCAGGTAGTCACAGCCAGCAAGCTCAGTGATCTCACCAGTGTTACGGAAGGAAGCACCCATGACGATGGTGTTGTAGCCGTGCTTCTTGTAGTAGTTGAAAATGTTCTGAACAGACTTGACACCGGGGTCCTCCTCGGCAGAGTAGTCACGCTTGTGAGCAGCCTTGTACCAGTCAAGGATACGGCCAACGAAAGGAGAGATGAGGTAGGCACCGGCCTCGGCAGCAGCGATGGCCTGGACGGTGGAGAACATGAGGGTCAAGTTGCAGCTGATGCCGTGGTCACGCTGGAGAACCTGAGCGGCCTTGATACCCTCCCAGGTGGAGGCAATCTTAATCAGGATACGGTCCTTGGAGATACCGTTCTCCTCGTAGAGCTACATGTAATGTTAACTGCACGCTCACCAGAGCGATATTAATCTGATTATATCATACCTTGATGAGGTGAAGGGCCTTGTCGATGGAGGCCTGGGTGTCGAAAGAGAAGCGAGCATCAACCTCAGTGGAGACCTTTCCGGGGATGATCTCAAGGATCTTCTTGCCGAACTCAACCAGGAGACGGTCAAGGGTGGCATCGACCTTCTCGTCGACAGTGCTGCCCTGTTTATACTGTTAGACAAAAGTACCCCAATAGGGAAAATGATTCAAAGGAAAGCTCGAGGGCGACGTACGTGCTGCTTGCCGTAATCGACAGCGGCGTCGATAAGGGCGGCGTACTCGGGCTTCTTGGAAGCGGCCAGGATCAAAGAGGGGTTGGTGGTGGCATCCTGGGGCTTATACTTGCCGATGGCTACAGTTCCAGTTAGTTTCTGGTCAGACGGATATGGAAAGGTAGGGAAGGAGGACATACTGGCAAAGTCACCTAGAAGAATCAATTGTTAACATGAATTGAGTCCTTGCGATCATGGGCGAATTCCAGTGACGAGATACTTTACTTACCAGAGTCGCAGACGACGACCTAAGCGGGATAGTTAGCAACAGAGTTTCGAGGCAACACAGATTGCCACCAGGGGTAAATGAAAGCTTACAGTGCCAGTGGCCTTGAGCTGCTCAAGAGAAGAAGACATTGTGAAAGCTGGAATGGTATCACGAACAACGGGGTATAATGAGAAGAAGATTGGAAGACTGGAAAAGAAAAAGTATGAATGAAGAAGGAGGAATCGATGTCAAGGAAGAAATGTCGGAGTAGAAATAAAAACGGGTGGACGTGGCGATCGCAGAAAGACGCCGAAGCACCAGAGGGGGAGCAAACCAGTGGTTTTCTTACTATGGGAAGTGGGATGGTGGGGCAACTATGACGCTATGCCTGGTCAGAACTCAGTGTGGGAGTGTCGGCCATGGCCTCAGGCAGTCCATTTATTCGTACTGTCATTTGTATGATACCATACATCCATCCATACATACACATATACATATACATACAGTGAACTAAACAGATATCAAAATCCCCCTTTCCTCTACAAATCCTCCATTTGAACTCCCATTCAAGAAGCGAAATCAGCTTTTTCATTCTATACTTGCTGGCCACAATCAAACCTTCCGACCATCAATGCGGCTATTGTAACCCCCCTGAACAGAAGCCGGTTCAATCGGCGCAGTGTGCTCCGGCAACGCATGGCTGTCGGAGTATAACGGTCCACCTGGTATCCCACCAAAGGAAACCCCGCTCACTGGCACGCCTGCCCAGAGGTCCGTACCTTTCACCGAAGACACTACGGAGGAGTAGTTCCGTCCCTAGTGACTCCATAATATCAAACAGTAAGGATTTGGTGAGCAGCTGACAAAGGCTCAATTTCCGTTGTTACGAAACCATCCAATTAATCGGACCAAGGATTGCCATCGTATACATTCGAGTGACTCTTGCATATTATATCTAGTAGTGGATGATATCCTAAAACAAAAATATCTCATAAGGAAATATTGAAATAGGGTTTGTCAAGCACTTGTCCAGACCCTGGGGGAAATATTGATTGATATCAATCGCGCTTAATACTGAACAAGGAAGGACAAAGCGCTGCAGATTTATCCGGCGATCCTAGCATATATTGACCCTCCCCCAGAGTATGATAAAATTAGTACTCGATAAATACCTGAAGGAGAACGGAATCCACATTCTACATTGAAAAAATGGCCCATCTTATATGCTTCCCAGGCATCCCGTCTTGTTCTTGTGCTCCATCCAGAAATGTATCACAGTGGGATTGCAAGACACGCACAGCACCACAATACCGCATGCCATGTAGGGACGGTGTAGATTGTCGTGATAGCCACTAAGCCACCAAAGACTGATGCAGTGCTTAGATAGCTTATCCTCGACTCATCAGCTAGCCACATGTCTAAAGTCAATATATATATATATATGTATAACCTAAGACGTTAATGGATGGTTCCCGCATCCTTGAAAAAGAGGCCGGGGGTAAAAAGTTACAGTTCCTCCAACCCATCATAAGATCTATGTAATATGTATAGCCTTTGCATGAGCCTAGACCAGGCCAGTCTGGGGTAGGGGTGGTCCCATTGTGGCAATCTCTGCTATCAAAGTGGAGTCTGCCGGAATAAGATGGATGTCTGTATGTGTGGTCCTCGCTACTTAGAGAGTAGACAGATGGAATATGAAAGACAGAGAGGATGAGCCTACTATCGAGATGAAATTGCAAAATCATGTTGGACGCTATGTCATCTTTAGGTGTTGGCTTTTCATTATCTAGAGTGTACGTAGAAGATATTCCAGACCCAACCGTCCCGCCGGAACTTTTTGCTTTTCCCTTCTGGGAAATTTTAACCGCCGCCATCTATATTTTGTAAACCAGTGTATAATCATTCATCATTTCCCACGCCACAGATATATAGTTGCAAAGAAAGAAAAGAAATGAATAGAGAGAGGCTGAAAGACGCAACCAGGAAAGCAAGGAGGCAACAAGAAATGAAAATGGGCAGAATGGAAAAGAGAGAGAGACCGTAGAAAGCTGATATGCTATATTCGACTATTCCAAAGTTGAGTTTGTACGGGTCTTGTGGGCGATAGGGTAGTCGAGCGTTGGATATCCTTCTAGCGCCGCTGGACACAGCTCCATTCATACTATGTATTGAGTGAGCTTCTGTCAATATGCATTGGGCCTAACCACACTTACCACTTTCCCCGCTTCATCTCCCGTATAGACCACATGTGGAAGCGTGAGAATACAGCTGATACCGGAGGAAATATTGGCGCCAGTATCACGAGTGCTGTCAGTATGATGAAGTTGCCGAATTAACTCATATTCGAAGCGTCCGTTGTGGACGATTTTACTCCATATCTGGAACATAGTTAACCTCCAGCTGATAACGAACAAGCTACTAAGGAAGGATTCAATGGAGGACACATACATTGACGACGCCTCGTCTGTGGCCAGTGAAGAGAAGCTCTCGCTCCTGCCACTCATTGTTTACGCCCTCGTAGAAGACACAGGACATCACTTGATCATCGTCTGACTCGCACACTGCCTGGTCTAGCAATAATTCTCCATTGAGTGTGTATAGGCTGATACGTCTTCCCCGACAGACTGCGATTTCTCCTGTCACATCGTTGATTCTCGCACACTAGGATAGATCAGCAACTGGGGGTCAAGGAGCTCCGATATGCGAGTTATAGCTTACATCTACATGTCCTTTGGCTGGAAGCTCTCGAACAAAGGTTTGGCGGTTGAGATCCCAAAGCATGATTTGACCATCAGTAGACGCAGAGAGAAGAACACTAAATGACCGCGACACTGCTAATACCGTTACAGGCGAGCGATGTCCGAAGAGTGATCCTGCAGGTTGTAGATCTACAGACTTTGCTGTGGAGGTGAATGTCCATGTCGAGACGGTACAGTCTGTGCCTGAGGTAACTAGAGTACGAGAATCCGCAAATATTGCAGCTGATAGCTGACCAATATGAAGATGTTCGAAGTGTCCGAGAAGCTGCAGCCTTTCAGTATTTCATCCAAAATAAATATATATATATATATATATATATATATATTTTTAAAAAA